ACCCGCCGGCACCTTATGCCGTTTGAACAATCCGGGACGTCTTTAGATTGTGTCTCACTTTTGAAAGGGTCCCTTATTTTTTTTAAAAATTGTAAAAAAATATGTTCTCTTATTTATTGAAGATATAGAAGTGTATTTTCCTATCGTTTGTTTTAATTGACGTTGACCTTGATCATGTCTGGATCTTTCTGTGCGGCGTGACCGAAACCAAAACCACCGACCGACTTATGCAGCCTTGCCTTTGTCACACTGTTATTCTGTTTAACGTCATTTACTACCATGATTATTGTTACCCTTATGCCAAGAGACTAATGCCATTGACACTAGAACGCTGTGATATTTTATGCCGTCTTGCTCTCGTTTCAGACCGTTCTGTTGTTGATTTACTAACGGACAAGAAATCCTCCGTGAACTCGTGAAACGTACTTGACTGTAAATTCGTATTGTGCACATTATCTGTATTGACCATTTGTTTAGTGTGTCACGAATTGATATTGTCCAGCGAACTCGTCTTCTGATTCCGCGTTACACTTTCGTGTAACCAACCAACCAATATCTTCAATCTTCAGGATTAAGGTCATCATATCATATTCTTCGTGAATTCCAAGGAGAAGCTTGAGAATAATACATGCAACATTGTTGATTATTACCAGAGCAACGAAGATGTTCATGCGGACGGATAATGTAGCTTCAAGTGTTTACCCGCAGCCGTGACGGGATTTTCTGTTATACTACCCTAAACGTTGATTATCACTTTAATCGGGTACTTTCTTTGATAAATCTCAGTTGTCGTTGTCCACATTATTGGAGCTGATTATTTATGTCGTTATGGATGAACCTGGAACGCGACCGTCGGCCATCTCATTTGGGGACATGTAGACGAGGTCCAGTGCAGGATGTGGTTTGATTTCTGCGTACAAACTTTACAAACGATATTGAAACTTATTTAGGACAAATTAAAAAAATTTACATGTGTAAATCCTTGGTAATAGTCAGTTGTTATTGAGAAAATATTTGTTTGTTCCATATGCGCGTATTTCCTGATTATGCTATTCGTTATACTACTTATGAGTAGTAGATTTATAACAATTTCAGGCGAACAATTGTTCTCAATAACTCATAATCATGCCATTACAGCTTATATGAGGGAAAAATCCTAAGGGTTGGGAGGAGAAAAATAAAATGTGTATGCGTGTCTGTGTTTGTGCGTGTGCGTGTGTGTTGCACAACGCATTCTCAAATCTGTGCTTCCGGGGTTTGCAGTTGTGTCACGACGGTCGTATGACCCAGTTCTGAGGGATCGGTGTTGTGTCAGAATGTTTGTGTATGTATAAAAGGGGGGCATGGGGGAGAAGTGGGTTCGCGAGCCCAGGGGTGATGGAGTGCTTGGATAAGACGTTTCTGGGTTCATAGTTCGGGGGTCAAATGCTTAATGCAGATGGCCTCGGCTATGACCAACGTAAGCATTCTAACGTATTTGGACCGGTTCGGGGGGACCTGATAGATAATGCGGAATGCTTCACTTGGGTCAACACGATGGCCAGTGTCTACCAAGTGAGCGAGAATCACACTGGTGATAGATCCGGAACCACCTCGACTCAGCCAGCGGGAATGGTGTTCTTTCATGTGGATAGATATCTGCCATGCCGTACGACCGATAGATTTATGATTGCATAAATTTCGCTCTATGGGTGCCGGAGGGTAACCTGCGCCCAAATGCGCTATAATTTTGGTTTTGTAGCTCATTTTTAGCTCAAATGTAGCTGGGTACTAGTGCGCTATTAGCCGACGACGTG